GAATTGCTGGCAAAAGGCTTGTCCAGAAGAGTGGGAAATGGCCATAGCATCAGAGTTTGGTGTGATCCTTGGATTACCATCATGTCAATAGTTACTTTATGGTAAACTTTTTATTTAATCTATTCTAAACTTAAAAACAATACATACACATGAGTTTATAGATGCTTTGAAGTTGATTTCAGAGACTCAGTGTTATCATTATACGAGTAAAATTAAGCATCCACCCAAAAAAAAATCTTAATTTCTTAAACATCAAAATTTGTAATTTCACACTATCTTTATCCATTCCTCAAGCTATCCAATTACACCATTTTCATCGTTTTTGGTTCTTATACATTTTTACATAACCATAACCAGCTCACACTAATCTTGTTGTAAATGTGTGCCTTAAATAAAAGACTCACGCAAAAAAAAAAAATGTATTTACTATATCCCAAGCCTCTTGGAGCCACACTCTGAGCAGAATTTGGACGTCTCTCTCAAGTATTGTGCTCCACATTGGTCACAGAATTTCGCTGGACTCGTTGGCTATGGAAACACAAAATAAACACATGAGGACTTTCATGGAGATTTGAAACTATACGATTGAAATAGTAGTGGGAGATTAGTAGTACCATGACATGGCTTCCGGTGAGGGGTTGCAAGCAAGCCATGTGCTGTGAAATAGATGGTGACTGGTGCGTGTGAGATAGTTCAGGGTCGCATTGATGGTTCTGACCAGGAAAATGTGTGGCTGCGTGTTGGCTTTGGTATATAGTTTGATGATGGTGGTGGCTCTGGTGAATAGGTTGATGAAACTGAGGATGATGAGACAAAGATGACATGTGATGTTTGGAAGGAGAAGGAGTGTGTTGCTGTTGTTGTTGACTTTGTTCCTGTAATGATAAATTCGACGAGCTCAAGATTTTATCCATTACAGATTCGATATCATTGTGTGTAGATTTGGAAGGAGTACTGTACTTACCTCACTTACAGAGCGAAATCCTTGTGTATTAGATAAACTTGCAGAATCTATACCCGGAAATGTCTGCAAAACAAAGGTAAATCAAACAGGAATACTGTCACTTGTTCTTCCAATTCCGCACAAAACAAAAGAAGAAGCTGTAAACAGAGTGTTGATTGGTCTTACAGGCAAGTCGTGGAGGCTGGGAACAGAATTTTGAACACGTCTATGCTTATGTCGCGGGCAATAGAATCTATAATCTCTAGCAGAGACAGCCACTTCGTTGCGGCCTGTTAATCGCTTAAACCTGTGATGGCAATATCCAAAATGTATATAGTGATGTCGAGATAACTAATATTGAAAATGGTAAAAAAGATGATTGGAAAGACGTATTTTCACCATTCAGCATCTTCAATAGGCATATCATCAGGCTTTTCAACGACATCTAAACCATTTACGACCACAAAACGAACTCGTTTCTCTTCTTGTATTACCAATTCTGGAAATCTTGTCCTTGTTTCAACTGAAGTTGCCAGTTCTCTTCTCCTGTACATGCAAGTACCTGTAAATGGAAAAAACAGACAATCGCATGTATCAACGAATCAATCGAAAGTACTCAGATTTATCACTTAGCAGATGCAAATACCTTTCTTCGGAAACTTCTTTGTTAATTTTCTATACAAGCCACCCGCCGCTTCAAGAGCTACCCCGATCGTCTTTTCCCTTATTCCATTCAGTGAAGAAAGCCTCACATTTGCTTCACCGACTAAAGTCTCATACAAATTTGCAATATACATCAACGGCAATGCAAAACTCGGGTCACCTTCATATCGTGTATCATCATCCGATTTCCTCTTGGCTTTATTATGATCCTGTCCTCCTGAACCCGTTTCATGATCCCGCTTATTCTCACAGACCTCAATCACATGTTGGCTTATAAAGTAATCCACTATGATTTGCAGAAATTTGCCCCGTGCTGATTCAATCGGCGTAACATCTAAACCAAAGATGATAATGAATCAAGAAACTCCACACATTCAAAAACATCATTTTGTGAGATACCTAATCCAATACTGAGATGATCCTTATTATACCTTGAATGTTTAACATATTGTAAGAAGGTCCCTTGTTCTCCATGTTAGATCCACCTTCTTCAACTCTGTCATTGTGCATTTGCATAGAGCCGCTTCTGTATGATTCGTGCATACAGTCCTGAAAAGAGACAAAAGCCAAACCCATTGATATTGATAACTCTCATACTAGAAAACTTCAGACTAAACATGTGAAACCCACAATCTCAATTCATAACTCAGAAACTATAAACTATGATTCGTGCATACAATCCTGAAAAAAGCCATACTTTCAATTCTAATTCGAGCTAAGTTAGACATAAACCCTAAGAATCGAGACCAATTTTTGAGAAACGAACCGCAGAAGAGGAATCACGGTCGTTGTCCAAGCTATCACCGGAGCCTCCGATGCCGTTGGGAGGACCATCAACGGAGTTAAGATCGTGAAGAGAAGTTCCGATGTAAGAATCAGCCGATCCCAAATTGTAATGCTGCACTCCAACCCTAGCTCCCATCTCTTCCT